AACGTGTATTGAGATGCGCGGACATTTTTACTAGTATTATAATAAAATATAATTATGTACTATAATATTAAAATTAGTTTTACAATTAATCATAATATTATATCATGTTATAATATATATACATTAATATATATATATATATCAATACTATATATTATATTTAATATTATAACATATAATATAATAGAGAGAGGATGAATGGATCGGGGAGAAGCGCCGATCGGGCTTAGAGTGGGATCGGAAGCCACGCAACGGGATGGAGCGGCTCGGCGGCGGTTCAGGCGGAGACGGGCTGGTTCGGCTGCGCTTCCACGTCGGCGGGAGGGGCGGCGGAATCGGGCGAGTATGATCGGCTTGGTTCAGTTAGGGCAGACGGATGCAGAGTCGACTCCACTCGACTAGGGCACGGGTCGAGGAGAGAAGGAGCGACGCCGGAGCAGTGAGTCGACGGCCTAAGGTTATTATTAAAAATAATTATAATTATTATAATAAATTTTATATGATTAAATAAAAAAAATTTACGACATGAATTTTTTATTATTCATTCATGAATAACCTTGGTATTAAATTCTTTTTATTAGTTAATAAACAATATGTTTATTTTTTAAGTCAAATTTTGTTAAAAGTTATAAGTTCTATTTTAATTGCAAATTAATAAAATTTTAAACATTAATGATAAATAAAAAAATTAACATAATAAATTTGAAATAAAATTACTTTTTTATTCATATATTTCATTTAAAATAATAATTTTATTTTATAAATTTATTGCTACAAATATTTTTAAAATCAAATAACCAATAAGTAAGTTGGTAATATAATATATTTGATAAGATTAAATTTATTTGTGATTTTTTTTATCATGATTGTAATCAATATGATTTATTGTTCTACTTATTTGAGATATACTTTAAAATTTTTTACCTTTTATTCTAGCAATTTATATTCAATTTTTTTTTAAAAAAAAAGTTTATAAATTTTAGTTTTCTTTTTAAATAGAGAAGCAAGTATAACTATACCCCAATGAATATTCGAATAATTATTATTATCATAAATTTTATAATTTACAACCCTTCATGAGAAATTTGGATAAATATTTGATTTTTTTGTGTTTAAATTTTTAGAGAGAAAAATAAGTTGTGTTAATATAGTTGCATCAAAAATAAATCTTTTAATTAAAATTTAATTGATTGTTAAGTAGTAGATTTTAACCAGCGTTTAATCGAAATCTATTAAACAACCAAAATGATAACGTAAAATCCTACAAAATCTTAAGTCTTTTTTTTTTTTCTTCTTTTTGTCAAATTAAACTTGAATACCTATTATTCTTCACATGTTATTGCTCTCATTGACGTCTTCTCAAGCAAGTTCCCATTTATTGTCGTGCATTTATCAATTTAAATGGGCATTACAAGGCATTTGAATTACCATATATATTTTGTTTCATGCACATAGACATTTTACCACAAAAACTACATTAAATTCTAAAAAAAAATTAATATGACATGTAATTATGTTAAAGTGCTTTGTAAATTTATATAAATAATTAGTTTAATTTTGTGAAATGCAAGAATTTTTTTATTAATAAATATGAGATGACAAATTTCATATATGCATGAAAATTGTAAAAAAAAAAATTCTGCTTAAAAAACAAAATCTAAGAAAGAGAATTAGTATTCTTTTATATTGAACCGATTCATTTAGAGAAAACATCTATAAAATCACTTCAGCAAGAAGTTTAAGTTGCCATTTTAATCATATATTATTTCTATATTATTTTTAGTCAATTTTTTTCCCAAAAAAACTTATCAGTTGATGTGGATCTAAAAAAAAATTTAATCATAAACTTATATATATTATTCCTATATTATTAAGCAGAATTCACATTTTAATATTACTTTAAAAAGATTACAAAATTAACATTTTTAATCTAATTGCTGCTACTCTTTCAATTACAAGGTATTGGTCTCCAAATAATACTGCATACAATGATACAAGAATTATTCAGAAACTTAACATTTCATTACAAAAATGGAAATAAAAAACAATAAACTTTAACCACGAAATCGTCTTGAAAATTTACTAACCAAAATTTTTCAAAGAACATCAGGAATAATTACAAGGTTCAGTGGTTTTGAAACACCATATACTTTTATGACCAATTCTAGATGGGTCAGTTATTCCAAGAACTTTTATTCTATCCAGTGAAGGTACGCATAGGAAGATTCGGTTTTAGGTAAAAAAGCGCCTGTACCGAGTTTTTTGAAAAAACTGGGTACACTGAAAAAAAACTCGGTACAGGCGCTTTTTTGCCTAAAACCGAACATTCCTCTGCGTGCGTTCACTGGATAGAATAAAAGTTCGTTATTCCAAAAAAGCTCATACCGCCCACAAAAAAGTATAGGTAAAGTAGAACATCACAATTACACAACTCTCCTTGGCCTATTGGTTGAGAGCTTAGGCTTCAAACTAAGAGGTTCAGGGTTCGAGTCTATGTGTATGCGTTGTGTGTGTGAGTTTGCCTTAAATGGCCTAAATGTCCAAAAAAAAAAAAAAAGAACATCACAATTGTCAATTCGTCAGCTGTAACCATCAAGCATGTCTTGTTAAAATAGCCTAGATATATCATATTACACTACAGACGGCTGAGTGAGCACATGAAAGCCACAACCTTAGCATATACTTCATGCTCCTCACAATAACAAAAGAGCATAAATTTCCAAATAATATTAAAGTAAGCCAACAAAGCCTAATCATGTGAAATAAAGGTTGAAATAAGCAGCATAAAAATGAAATGATTCTTCATTTCATTGATATGAGAAGGCATTGACATCAACCAACAAAAATTCACTTACAACAAAAACAAAGGTCAAAATAAACAAAAAGGGGGCTTTCTAAAGTTGAAAGGTTTCGACGGTTGAATTCAATCTTCCAAACTTCTACCTGAATGTTTAAATAGGATACAATGTTGAAGATTATAAAACTTCTACCTGAAGAATTCTTTTACTACATAGCAAGATCAAATAAGAGCAGTGTGGAGTGTAAGAGACACCTCCTTTTATGAAGTAAAAGAGACTAAGATTTCGTTTGGGATAGCTTTCTTATTGTTTCTTAAAACAGATGAAAAATAAGAAGTCATAAAATCAATATTAAAAAATTGAAAAAAAAAACTAATAATGCTGATGAATTAGGGATGGTAACTGAGTGGCAGATAGTCCAATGCCAACCCTCTAGGAGAACACCACCATAATTATGTTCTATATAATGAGCATATGAAGTTAATTATGTTATAGAATTTCAAGTCCTAAACATTAATATCAGTAGAAATTCAAAATTTTTGAGTTGACATAAAAAATCATGTTTAAATAACTAAAAGAGTGGGATTAACTTGAGTTGTTTTAAAAATACATCTAAAATTTTGTTTATATATATATATCATTTTAATATTTAGAAATAATAATAATAATGACATTCAACTCTCTCTCATCGACACGCACCAAATGTCACCTGATTCGAGCACGAATGGATTTGTTTGAAAGATCTCGACGATCTGTATGTGCTCTCGCAATCCGTTTCACAAAATGATGTCTCAATCAAAAGATATTACGCATGAAATAAATGTGTAAAAAAAAGCTCAAATACATGCAAAATATACGTCAAATCATTGTTGACACAATCACACTTGTTTTAAGACATGATAATGAGCAATATGTAATCAAAAGACAAAAATTTCAAAGCCAACAATGAATTGAGGTAAAATGCACGATTTGACAACAAATATAACAATATGACGTAGAAACAAGGTAGATCAACCACAAAGTATGAGTGATAGGATTGTCCGAGTGATCGATGTCAAAAAAGAAGGTCAACATCGTGTTCGGGTTGACCCGACAACCCACAGGTCAACTCGAAATGACCCGTTTCGCAAACTCGCTGCTTAGTCCACAGGTCGTGTTCGTGTTGTCCGAGTGCCCGTTAGGTCGCGCCCGTGCTAACCGAGTGCCTGCCAGGTCGGTTCCACGTCAAATCGCGACGTCGCATCCGCGTGAGGTGGAGTCTGCCATCCACGTTAAAGGCCGTCGTCGCGGCCTCGCCCGTCGGTTCAAGGCTCCAGGCGTGCTGCGTCCACGTCGTCCAACCCGCACAACCGCGCTCTAGGCGTCCCGCATCCGCGTGGCTCGGCTCCGCATTTATTCGCGAGTTGGGTCGTGTCAACCCGGTAACTCGCATGGGTCGGGTTAGGGTCAACCTGTTTACAGCCGGGTCAAGTCGGGTTCGACCAGAACCTGATCTGTTGACCCGAATTGACACCCCTACTTTTAACAACATTATATACTAACATTTTTAAAATCGTTGCAGAAAATTTTTTTGGAAGCAGTATAAACCGCCATTTATAATGAACTTAATACCCTACTAATCTCCCGCTCCATCCACACCCATGACCTACCTCCCACACGCGCTCGACTGTTCCCGCGTCTTCTCCTCGATCTCAGCATAACCAACCTCGATCGTGCACTCTTAAACATTTGTCGCTAGCTTATCTTCGTCAATTGAATAGCCGTAGTCAATCTCGCGTCAAGCCCGACTTCCTCCATTCGTGCCCTAGCTGTAAACAACAGCCCTTCTTCGATCAAGCACCCGTGTTCACCTGCCAGGCAAGGTAAAACAATATCGTGCATGTGAGGGAATTTAAACCCACGATATACACTTTGCTGCTATGGAATATCCTTATGTTTCCTATGGTAATGTTGTGGCATATATGGTTGGATGGTTTGGAGTTTACTGTTTCAGCAATTAGCAAGGAGATTCATTTGTTGGTATGAATATGAAGCTAGAGCTGTCAACATTTGACCCGACCCGAAAATCCGAACCGACCCGAAAATTTCGGGTTTGGGTCAACCCGAACCCGAACCGGGTCGGCTTCGGGTTGACCCGGCGGGTTGCCGGGTCGACCCGAAAACCTGTTTAATTTAAAAAAATTCAGATTTCCCGCCCACGCACGCTGCCCGCTGTGCCCACGAGGCCACGACGACACGCGGCCACGTGTTTCACTATCATCTTAGCCATCTTCACATTATTATACCCTAATTCTTCCTATTAGAATGTAGTCCTTTTGGGTTCTATGTGCTACGCAATATGCAATATATTAGGCAAAGCTTCTACACTGGTTTTAGTTCATGGATTCCACTATCGATACTTCTTATTCTTATTATCTTCTTCTTGTTATTTTCTTGTCTATTTTTGGAAATGCCCTAATTTTGGTTGTGTTGTAATTGGAGAAATTACCATACCTTTATGAGGCAAGTTTAGTTTTATTAATTTCAAACTTCTTCAATTTCAACTGAAGAATTAGTTTCTTTAAAAATCTTTGGAGCCCTAAGTTTTCTCATATACGTAGAATAAACTCTACAATAATGTTATTAAGTAAATTATAGTCTTACTTCTATAAACATGGAATCTATTGAGTCTGCTTTGATGAAGAAGTGCTCATTCGACTTAGTTGAGGAAGGGCTAATAAGGTTCAACTACACTAAATAGACTTTGAATTTATTTTAGTAATTGAATTGTTTTTTTAACTAAACCAATTTCTCTTTTTTTTATTAATGGTATCAAATTATAGCTTAAATATATTTTAAATTAATCAAACGGCTCAACAAGCATTCGAACTGAGCAAGAATAAGCTCGAGTTCAACCCATTAGCTCAAGAACTAACTCGGCTCACAACAGCCCAAACTCTTAACTATTGAGATATTGTCCGCTTTGGCCTAAGAGCCTTAGGGTTTTGCCTTGTTGGTGTAACTTCCTAGTAGGTCATCCATCCTAAAATTGCTATGGGATGAGCACGCTTAACTATAGAGCTTCTTACGAAAATTTTAGCCATTACACCAAAAGGCGTCTCGATGTTTAAGAGTTAACTTTCTTTTACTTAAGGAGTTTCACAATTTCCCCCACTCAAGTAACTGACGTCATCGTCAACATCTTTATTCTAGAATCATCCACTAAGCAGATATAATTTTAGAGATGACATCTAAAAGTTCAAGCAGTGGCTCACGTCACGTCACACTTTGTCCCATACAAGATTCAAGAGGTGGCTCGCTTGGTGTAGTACTTTGTCTTGTATGATATTTAGTTCTCATCTTATGAATGGTGTATTGCTCTGATATCATTTGTAACATCACACACTCTTAACATCGAGATATTGTCCGCTTTGGCTTAAGAACCTCATGGTTATGCTCTGTTGGTGTAACTTCCCAGTAGGTCACTCATCCCTGAATTTCTCTGGGATGAGTACGCTTAACTACATAGTTTCTTACGAAAATTTCAACCATTACACCACAAGGCGACTCGATGTTTAAGAGTTAGCTTTTTTTACTTAAGGGGTTTCACAATCTCCTCTACTTAAGTAACTAATGTCATTGTCAGCATCTTTATCCCAGAATCATCCACCAGACATATATGATTCTAGATGTGGCCCATACAGGGTTCAAGAGTCGCTTCTGTCACATAGCACTTTATCCCATACAAGATTCAAGAGGTGGCTCCCATGACGTAGCACTTTGTCTTGTATGACACTTAGTTCACATCTTATTACTGGTGTATTACTATGATATCATTTATAACAGCTCAAACTCTTAACTTTTAAGACATTGTCCGCTTTGGCCTAAGAGCCTAACATTCTTGTCCTGTTGGTGTAACTTTCTAGTAGGTCACTTATTCTAGAATTATTCTGAAAAGAACACACTTGACCACGAAGTTTCTTACAAAAAATTTTAACCATTACACCAAAAAACGCATCGATGTTTAAGAGTTAACTTTACTTAAAGAGTTTCACAACTTACACCTCTACTAAGCACCACCTCTCATATGCATCACCTCCATGCACAGAGATGCTTTACTTCTCAATTATTATTCTCCTCTCAATTTTATTTTTGAGATAATCATTTTATATATCCTTCAATTCAAAATTATAACATTAATTATGATCAACAACATAAAAATCATGATAATAAATTTTTTAGTAATTTTATTATCAAGCGTATAAAAATTTAAATACAATCAAACAATATATATATAGATGCACTTTTAAAGTGTCGATTCATCTATTTCATCAGCTGTCCAAAAAATACAATAATTGCTTCAAATAAGCGACAATAAAGCTAACAAATTAACCATCTCATTTAATAAATATATGCAGCGCAAATGACACGCTACTGAACAATTTCAATATGTAGAGTTATAAATAAATATAATCAGACCCAATAGTTGCCAGCAGTGGCAATCGTTTATGACCTGTAAATGTAAACAAAAACCACACGTAATGAAGAACAAACGGCTTTAGTAGCTAATGAAGTACAACAAAATATACTCATAAACAACATATCTTCTTTCAGCCCAGGCACATACAATCTGGAGCAGGATACGTGTAAATGGATTGCTTGGGCTTCCTCACTCGAATCTGGCCTTGCCGACCTCTGTGATCTGCATACACCTGCTGTTGGAACTCAGACCACTCCAAGCTCTTGTTGAGGAAGAGCTGACCTAATAGAGCCATATTTGGTCTTATAGTCTTCAGGTTTTCATAAGTTCGGTGGCCAACCTGCAACAGGCGTTCATAACTTGATACTCATATATTTCATTAAACTTTTTTTCTTTTAGGGGATGTTTGGTAGCACCTCGGATTTGATTTAAGTAGGATTTTGTAAATCCTTTAAATCTGGATTTCGGAAATTCTGAGGGGCTTAAATCATGAAAACAGTTTGGTAACATTCATGATAAATCCTCTTAAATCTCATATGACTGTTTGGCTATAGAGCAAGATTTCCTGAGAGGACTCTCCCTCTAGCACCGTGGATTTCATAAATCCTGCAAAATACGGGATTTCGGAAATCCGGGATTTAGAGTGAATCGGCGCAATTTTCTGCCTACAGCGGATTTCGTTCGCCGTGAGATTTGGTTTTCCATTTTAGGCTGTTTGGCTGGATTTCGCTCAAATCCGCCTCAAATCCGGCCTAAATCCTGCTATCAAACACAGCCCCTTAAAGTAATAAAAGAGGGAAAAGTGAAATTACCATAGCATTGTGCATATTGCCAGGGGATGCAGAAATGAAGACGTCGCTCTTAATGCTGACATAGTAATCAACAGCAGCCAGAAGAGAAGCTTTCCCTTCAACCTTCACAAGTTCGTCAGAAGAAGCAAGGCTTTTTTTATTTTCCATTAGAGGGAAAAGCTTCCGCAGGCTTGAGATTCTGGCTTCCCCTCCGTAGACCTACAGAAAATACCTTAAAATAAGATGCACGTAGTTAAAAAATTCCCTTAATCTTGAGGGAGTAGCAGATGAAACCTTGTGTGAGGCGAGATAAAGGCGAGTTTGGGAGTCAAAGCCCAAGGCTGCTAGTAGCAATCCAATTTCTTCAGGTGTTAATGGGCAGCGCCCTTGGTTCCGTAGCTCCTCATCAGTAAATTGGGAGTTCATAACTCTCCCTTGCCAAATAACTTGTCTGTACTTTGCCAAAGCCAACCTTTCAGCTTTACCACCACCAAAGTCACAGGCTGAATGGGCTGCCATGTCCTGCAAAGTGATCAATTTTAAGTAAAATGTGATGGTAATCTCCAGTTCACAAAAATTCTCACAGCTATTATCCTTAAATTCAAAGAATGTGAAAAGGAATTGCGAAAACAAGGATACCTTGTCAAACCGCAAATGTAGTGTTACATACTTGCCAGACCCCTGGCTAACATTTTCATCAACTACCTCTTCTATGTATTCATCAGAGTGTGCACGTCCAGGATACCTGAGACGTTTGACAAGCATTTCTCCCAATGCATTGATATGAGGAACAAAGGCCAAGGCCCGAAAGTTGACTTTACAACGCAGCCTTTGAAGCTCCCCGGGCAAGTTGTCAAAAGCAAGGCGGTGTGAAAATGGTGCAATTGCCGCAATCCCATAACTGAAACAAAGGAGCGTCTTGGCACATAATCGTTGTAAATAAACAAAGGTCAAATAGAGGGATGAATAGTAAGTGGGCTTATGGCGATTGGTAGTAATATGAGGAGCTCATATCATGGTAGATTTACTTAGGCTTTGTTTGGGACTGCTTTCTTACTGCTTCTTAAAGCAGTTTTTTAGTATAAAAATTTTAATTTTTAAATTAAAAAATTGTTTTAAGAAGCAATAAAAAAGCCGTCCAAAACGAAACCTTAGTTTATGTTTATTATGTACAAGTAAGAGTGAAATGCAGGCTCGGCTAAAAGATGCATTGACAAAACAAACCCATAATAGAAATATCATAAGCATGGCACAAAAAACCAGACACTGTTATAACACCAAGCATCATGATTTTAGTAACTGCAGGGAATCATCCACGATGAATGTGAACTGAAATCTCAACTCACTAAACAAAGGAAAAAATATGATAAAATATCCATTCTTAAAAATTCTAGCAGCAGTTCCTTATCATATCCGAAGATAATCTAGAAGAGAAATAAAAAAAAAATAAGAAATGTTACTCAGCCCACAATTAGTGTATCAAGTGACATTTGAAATTGAGTCTTTATCAGATAAATATCTTTGCTAATCTAAAGTTTTGATATTTGTTATCTAACCATCCTAAGAACTTCATGAAATGTAGTAAAAACATCCAAATCAATTGCCAAATGACACCAGCTGATTACTGGAACCAAATGCAGCGAAAAGGCCATATCTTTTGTATCATTTTTTAAATGATCCGCAAGCATGTCAAAATGTTCTTCACAGCATTTTTGTTGATTTACACATCGGAAATGTCCTTCTATGTTTGAAGCTATACATCGCACAAAATGCCCCCCAAAACATTACACTGAAATCGAAACAATTATTAGAATTTTGTTGCCCGAGATGCTACAGAAGTTGCGCTTTGATATACTCTTATTCAGTTTTACATATGCATGTTATTCAGACGGGTAAGGGTACAATATAATAAATGTAAAAGAAAAACCAAATGTTTTCATTGTTAAAAAACCAAAATCAAGGATGAAGCAAAAGATGGATGCATATCGAATAAGAAATGGTTGAGATCCCTCTTTCAATGGTCAAGTACCAAAGAATCATGCTTTTACTATTACAAAAAACAGAATGGCAAGTGAAATTCATGACAATAATTGCTAGATTTTACTTTGTTGATAATATTTATTAACCCTAGCAATGAGCTTGGCTAATTAGATAAGATAGCCACGCTACATGGACGGACATAGATGGTGCATAAAATTTGGGTGTAGTTAGGGTTAGCCAAATGAAGACAGGAAGGTTACCAACATGGCTAAACAAAACTTTCATGAATGCTCCAATCGTAAACTGAATTATTCATACATCATGAACTGTGCATGGACACACAAGCCACAAGGAATTTCATGACTTCTAAAGGCTACAACAACAAGAGCAGATACTGGGAAGATAAGAAGCAATTCATGCTATAAAAGTTTCCCTCCAACATAGGGTGGGTTGCCAAGGAGGAGAGTGCTTATTCACGTTTCAAATTTGATCAGGAAACTTATTGATATGCTTTCACGGACACTTGATTTAAGAGAGTTGACATCAAATAAAGGGATATTAGATGACAATCTTATTTCTTTTTAGTTGTTTTATATCGAATTTATTTTTCAATAAACAAAGATCACACTGAATCCTCTCTCTCTCTCTCTCTCTCTCTCTCTCTCTCTCTCTCTCTCTCTCTTCTATCCTTCTACATACCATCTCTATTTGAAAAAGTAGATGGGCGTAATTTTATGCAAGGAGAGGAAAGTAAAGGGAAGGAGCAATTAAGGAGCATCAAGGAAAGGAGCAAGATCAAAAAAAAAAAATGAAGGAGCAAGATCCTGGCAAAACACAGAAGAGGAACAATTCCTTCAAAGAGAAGTGTTCTCTTTGAAATGGTAAAGATATACCGTCTATTCTTGCTATATTCAGCCATCACTCAAGTGTACAGTTTTTCTAATCCACATAATTCTTTTAACCTAGTCTTATTCAGTGAAGCTATTTGCAAGAAAAAAATAAATCATGGCAGCTCTTATGAAGACTAACAACAATTACTTACACAATGAATCCTAATCCCTAGTACTAGATATTCCATAAGTCAAGGAAACCGAAAGATTTGATTTTTGAAACATACAAATTCCACATATCTCCACCAACAACCCTGTTGATTTTAGAAACATACAATTCCCACCTCCCCCCTCCTCCCTCCACCCCCCGCACAAGTACCTAAGCATTCTGGTAGTATGTATCTCACCCAAGAAGACTATGATTGACTCCTAAGCACTCCAAAATAATCAATTCAGTATCTCCTATGATTTCCACCTCTGGTTTAAATGCAGTTGCTCATTCTAATTCAACATAAGCCTTAAGTTATAGTGCTTTTCACCTCTCTCTCTCACTCTCTCTCTCTCTCTCACACCTACATTATTATTGATGGATCCCTCCCTCTCTCTAAAAAAATGATCTAACTCTCCACATTAACTTTAAATAATATCTGACATATTCCCCACTTTTCTACACATTTCTCATTAACTTTAAACAACATATGAAGTGTTCCCCGCTTTTCTATGAACTTTTTATATATATAAAGTTATATATTATACTATCAAATCCCAAAACTACTCAAATAACCTTTTATCCTTTCCACCATTTTTCAGATCCTACACAAAGAAGATTATTAGCAGACGTGTTTAATTTGAAGGCATTTAATTTAATATCTCCTGATGCTACATTCCATTTCCTTGCCCTCCACAACTTCCCCTAATCAATGGCATTATCATCTTGGTCTCCTTTCCCTCACCAGCTGTGGATCCTTTGTATCTGATTTTTAGTGTAAAGCCTATCATGTAATAAGCATCATCATGCCTCTTTTCTGATGTCTATATTTTCTCATATTAGTACCATTTTTTACTTGGCCCATTCATATATCTAGGATCTAAGTCCTAGGACAGTCGACTAGGTTTTTGTTATTTTGTTTCTTCTATTCATTACTCAGAGTTATCAATTTAAGTGTTTCAAAGCTTTCACTATATTCAAGTAATTTTTTTAGGTTTTAAATTCTATTAAAATTCTATACAAATGTTCTTAAATATTTCCAATTGATTTTTTATGCCTCCTATAATGAAACTAGTATTATAAATCAATCATCATATCTCAATGCATGCAACAAAATGGTCTAGTTGAATGCAAGCATCTACATCTCTTCAATTTTTCTTGTATTTTAATATTTTACATGAATGTAACATATCAATTTTAGAGAGATTTCATTCTAATAGTTTACTAATTATTGAATCATGAGTTATCCATTAGTATGATGGGCGCTACACCCTTCACTTATTTATCCACAAACACTTATTTTTTCTCAGACCCTCTTTGGTTGTATTTCTTTCATCCACTCTCTTGACCCTCAACATGATGAACTCTCCCATTGAACCATTAAGTGCATCATTTTGATTTATTCTCATACCCATAAAAACTATTGATGTTATGATCCATCTGTAAATCAACTCTATGCTCCAACAAATGTTACCTTCAATGAGGCATCTACTTACTACCCTCATTTCTTGTCCACTAAAAGTTTAGTTTTTCGCTTATAGTAAAAATCTTAATGCAAATAATACCCTTAAATATATGCAATCAACATTTCAATCCTTCTATGTTAAAAATGATATCATGCATTGATCATCATATCCTTGTACCTCCTAAAAAAACGATCAAATAGAAATTAACCATCCCCTGAATGTTCCTCATACCATAATGTTTCACATGAATGCTACATGACAATTTTGGGGATATTTCATCCTAACAACCTCCTACTTAATTTGTGTGTCATCCACTGCTACGAGTGGAGCAACTCACTTTCACTTATTTATCAGTAGTCAGTACATACTCAAGTTTTCAGCCAAATTAATTTCATATGCTCCCTTCATCCTAGAGATGATAAACTCTTTCCTTGAAACATTAAGTATTTATTTTTTTTTATGATTCTCATACTCATAAAAGTTATTGATATTATCATCCATCTACACATCAACTTTATGTCCCAATGATCATTATTACCTTCAAAAAGGCATCTCCCTACTACCCCCCCTAACCTTATCCACTACCACATTATCTCTACGTATTCCACTTCCACCTATTGGTAACCATAATTTAAAGGAATGTAACCAAACACCAATCAAAACAAACATCGCAATAAGTCATCGTATAAGCTCTATTTAAGTGAAAGAAGAAAACCAATTAAAATCAATACCGTCCTATGTGATTTTCCTTGGTTACTAACACCATAAGAGTGATTCAAAGATATAAATGAAAAAATATTCAAATTTGGATCGCGTCGGATGGCTGCAATCACAAAACATAGGCTATGCAATATGCAATTTTGTTATTAAATAAGCCTAATCATCCCAAATGTATATGGAGCAATCAGTACATCTTGAAAATTCATGCAGATTTTGACAAACAGAAAAATTGGCAGATAAGATCAGAGAGAGCCGCCTTAGATAGTTTGGCCACGTAAAACATCGACCTTTCGATGACCTGGTTAGGAGAGTAGATGTATTACATTTAGCCCGTGTTAAAAAACGTAGAGATAGAACTAAAAAGACTTGGTTATAAAGTATTAAAATGATATTTTTATTAGATTTAAATCAGAATTCAACTCTTAAGACAACACAATGGAGAAAAACAATTCATGTAGCCAACCCCACATAATGGGGTAAAGGCTTAATGTTGTTGTTGTTATTGTTGTACAATATTTTTGGGAAACTTGCATCCCTCCTTCACAGACATCGTGTTAGAATTCATACAGATTTTAGTCTCTCTCCCTCTATATCTACTAGCAGAGACCTACTACAAATTGAAGATTTATCTTTAACTAAACTCTACATAATAGGATTAATCTTTAACCAACCTTTGTAAAACTGGAAGAACATTCTCCAGGTACCAGCTGGCTGACGCATGAACTGGTGCGGTTTTGATTCTTGTGGCTCTAATGGCAACGGCATAATAATCTCTTGTGCTCCATGAGTATTCAGAAGGCAACTCTCTAACAACTGAGATTTCATCTTTCAAGACATTGATGAAATGATCCACATCATAAATTTCTTCGAATGAGCTGCAAAAGCATAGACAGTCATACCCTAATTAAGGGAAGAATTGGTCGCATAAAACAAATATAAAAATAACCAGCATAGCTAGAATTACCTTGAATCTTGCCACACAGGATTTACTTCTAGATGTGGAATTACAAGGGTTGCATTTAAAATTTTAGCAACAGCAACAGCATCACATATCTACATAAGGAAAACCTCAATATTTAGTTAATTTTCTATGCAATAAGCTTGCAAGGTCTACATAACCACGGATGATTCTCAAAAGTACAATACTTTTTTTGTCAACCTAAATTAAGTTTCAGCTATGTATATTAAAGGCAGAAATGCCTACCCCCATCCTCTGTTGATTCAATCCACCATCAAGAAATACTTGGATATAGCCAGTCGATTTCACAGGGTTTCCTAAAAGCAAGGAAAAAAATAAGCAATTCAGATGAATTACAATTAGAAGATTCTCATATGATAAGCAAAGTCAAGAAGAGAGGATAAAGACCTAGACATATGTGGTTAATCCTTTCCAGTGAATCCCTTTTGAGGAGGTAAATCTTGTTTTTTCTATAAATAACACTTACCAGTGATACTTGAAGATGGAACACAGGGTTTCCATCCCTGGGGTGCCAAAGGAGCCCAAAGCTCAGATTTCTGCTCATTTGCCTGAGACATTTTAAAAAAATAAGAAGCATCAGAGAAGGCCATAAAAAACCTAGAAGAAAACACGGATGCTTTGGCAACAACTAAAACTCACAAATTCACGCTGCAAAGCTCCCTTCAGGAGAGACAAATGTCTTGGTTTAGGAGCATTCCACTCCTGCATAAAAATAACATTTTTTTTTCCTTAAACACCAGTTTGAAAGAGAACACATAGCCATTTCAATCAATGTTGCACAGAAACATGCACATGAAGCATGCTTCATGTGTTCTCAAAAGTATTGGTTAACTAGAGGAGCTTAATTTGTGCCCAACAAAGAAACATTTTATGCATAGTAATTAGTGGATCAACTTTTACGGAGAGTTTGTTGGAGCCACCAAAATGTATTCAATATCGAAGATAAGCTTATTTAAGGGTATTTTAAAGAATTCACTATATTTTTCAATTGCCCTAATTTATTCTTTGTAAAGTAGAAGCATTGTCTTTCTGTGATATCAATGAGATTAGGGCCGTAAAATAAACTCCATAATTAAAATGGCATTGAAACAACGGCGACAAAAGATTGTAGCCATTAATATAAATAAATTTCTTGGTGTTTTGTGTTTATATTATTTCTCATTTCTTTTTTTTGGGAAATATATTATTTCTATTTTATTTGCCCTTCATGATTTGAATTAGGCTTCACCTCATTTCCCTAACATTATTAAACATGGGTGAGGCGCACTATATGAGAGAACGGATTGATGCTTAACATTTTAACAACACTTTACTACAGAAATGGAATGTAAATTCACAACTTCACACTGCTATTCCAAAATTATTTATAGATCTGAGCATAGTAGTTATAGAATCAGGATGCAAATAAGAGATTCTGGAAGGTCATTGAACATAAATTACACTTAGTTTCATTGCATCCAATATGATTGACAAATATAGCCTGAGAATTACCTTTTCTCGCCCAGAGTAATCAAAACTGCTATAATAAGACCAAGCAGCCTGACGATTCTCGTAAGGAGTTGTACACAATTAGCTAGTTTACAGTCAAACCCATGATCTCTCGATACGACTAGTAATCATTTTCCACGCCAAACCAAATAGATAGCATTAATATCAGCTATTTAATAAACTCCACTGAATCTTAACTTCTTAAGCACCATAAAAACTTTTCCTTTAAAAAAATTCAACTTTGGAACAACTCCAACTGATGTGTGCTAAGCTGAGGGGACTAGTTGATTGAGAGTCTTCTCTCCAAGTTCGGGTCCCGCGTTCAAGCATATGCCTTACCTCCTCTAACCTAGTTTGAGGTTAACCCTCAACTTCACAATAAAAAAATTTAAAAAAGAATTCCAACTGATTTCATTCACAGCTAACTGACAAAACTACGCCATTTTCACAATGTGACAAAATCAATGAAGGAAGATTATCTGCTGATGTATGAATCTTACAAGACTTGGGAAAAAAACGATAAGATAAAACCACAAGGTAGCCTACCAGATCATAACCAGGGCAAGGTCATGAAAACTCACCGAGAAGGCAGAAGGGGAGGCGTGACCAAGAGGCGAAACGAGCGCAGGCCACATCACCGGAAGAAGCATCACAAGGAGAGCAGCATACGCCGCGCCTCTCTGCGAATAGCACTGACAGCAGAAGGAATTAATCATCGTCGAATGTCGCCGCCCCAAAACCGTCCTCCCAATCTTGCAAAGCAGTTCCAGATTCCAACCCTAATTACGGCACAGACAAAGTAGCGAAGACGAAGCAGTATATCTCCGTTCCCCTACCTGACAGAGAGATGCGTTCGGTCTCTTGTCTACACTAATCTGCGTTTTACTCTGCGCTTTATTCTACACTAATCTGCGTTTTACTCTGCGCTTTACTGTAGCACTGCTACAGTAAAGCACAGGTTACTGTAGACAGAGAGACCGAACGCATCTCTAAGTTCGGTCACCTGACGCAATAATTTGCCCTCCCTCCCTCTGTTACTCGCTTCAACTGGCAGAGAATGAAGAGAATCATTTTATTACCAGCTGTGGCTTTTATCATCTTGATGGTTAAAGGGCCAGGTGGTTGTTCATGAATGGATAAGAAAAGTGTTTGGTGTTTGAGAGAAGCAGCGAGAAACAGCTCTTGTATTAGAGGTTTCTTCTTCCACCGACGGACGAATAGCACCCGTTGGGGCCCGCCGGTCCGAATCAGTTTTTTTTTTCTTCACAAATGATTTAAGTTATAAATGTTTTAATCTTACTTCAGATAGTACCTGAATGTAAATTGTTTATGATTGATTTTATGTGAACAAGGATTCAATGTTGTGTTTAATTATTCTGTGCAGATTTCAAATATCGTCCGGAGATTTATCGGAATGTATCACGTCATCTCTTTGTTGTGTATCTTGGCTCGATATTGTTCGATATCGCTGACGTCACTGTCACTGATTCACCTCTGGACATAGAGAATAATTTCTCCAATGCTATAAAATAACTAAGGGGCTCTTTGTTTGGCTGGAAAAGAATGTAATTTAAAGGGAATGCATATTTTGATATTTTTTAGATCAGTATAAAATAAATATTAGTATATATATATATTAATTTGAAGTAAAATAATGTAGTGTAAATTTCAAAAATAGTGATGATAATAATGATAGTGGTGATGGTAGGTGGCAGCCAGTAGGTGATGGTGATGGTGGCTGGAGGGTACTGACGGCAAGAGAGCGTGCTTGCGATGAAATTAAATTTCGATCAAAACATGACTAGTTATTTTACCTAAAAAAATGAGCTTAAAATTTTATATTTCACTCATTTTCCTTTACTTTGAATCATTTTATTCATCCAACCAAATGTCAATATTTTCAAAACTCATATAAAAATATTATTTTATAACTACCCTACTTCAAATCAAATAGCCCCTAATTCTTGCACAAATAGATCAATATACTTTTCTAAAAATTTCCTCTAATGTATAACTTAGGGACCCCACTTAAAGTAAATGATTATGCTGAAGATCGGGTTAAATCTTCTAGAACTTTTGTTTGATTGTCTGGATTTGGTAACTTTTGGTTGCTTTATTACGCCATGATAGACCAAAATAGATTCTTTCGGATGTTGTAGAATGGAGACAAGAGACAGCCCAAGAATTGAAAAAATTATTAGGTGCGGAGTGCGCACAGTTCACATAAATATTGGATAACTAGCGGTATCCAACAGTACATAGCAGTATCGAGTGCGGGTACCGCTAGGTACTCAATACTTGTGCAGACGGTTATCGCCGTCCGCACTCTGCACCTAATAATCTCTCCAAGAATTGATGCCCATGTGGGCTTGTCTGTGGTCCTCCGTCATTTGAGAATTTTTTATCCTTGAAAAAGTTAAGATTTGAGAAATTAAAATGAATTAATATTGGTTGCATGATAGAAAAGAGTCCTCAACTTTGATGTGGATTGTTTATGGACTTTAAATTTGTAATTAAGTTTTTGTTAAATAATAGAGATTGGTTGATTTAATATAAATAAATATTTAATAAAAATTAATTTTGAATTAAATTTTTGCTTCGTTTGGGATGATTTTTCTTACTGCTTCGTAAAGCAATTTTTTAGTAAAAAAATTTTAATTTTCATACTAAAAAATTAGTTTAAGAAGCATTAAGAAAGCCGTCCCAGACAAAGCCTTTATTTTGAAGAGTTTGCTGTTAGGAATCAATGGAGACAAAAAAATAAATTCGACCATCTCCGAAAGACATGTCAAATCATCGAGAAGAATTTTCGGAAGCGTACCTTGAATCCATTGGAATGCAAAATTGAGATTTTCGGTCTTCCATGTTTAGAGCGGCGTTCTCCAAGAGAGCAAGAGACCCCTTCTTTTCATTCAAGATGGAAAATGAGAACTTAACCATTTAAATTGGGGACCACGACCCTTATACTTTATTTGTAAATATTTTATTTCAGTCCATCATTAAGATAAAATAAATACTCGGCCTCTGCACAAATTAATTTCATACAAAATCTAATTGAGATGCCACATAAGCCAAAAAATAATTTAATACTTAAATAGATCACAAAGTTAATTGGCTTAATTTTAGATAGCTTATAATGTATAAAATTTTATTTATATGTATAAGTATATGAGCCCGGCCACTTATAAAAATTCCCAACATTTGCTCCTAAGAATTTTAGATCAGAGCCACAAAAAAATATTTTATGAATTATTTCATTCAAAATATTTTGATAATTTCAGTATAAGAGAGATGATATTATCAGTTGTAAGATTTTATAATTATTATTATAATAAAATTATTAACGATATAACTATCAATTCAATTATATTGTTAAAAAAATTTATGGTTTTTGGGCATTAATCTATGTTTTATTTTTAATAATTTTTATTATAAAATTATAAAATTGTTTCTAAGCATATGGGCTTTTTCAACAAGGCTTCTTGACAAGAGACAGAATATGCTTTGCTTTTCATAATCATGAAATCTTTATCTATTAGCCTTCTAATCCGTAATCATCCATACTTTAAAGGCTTCTTTTTATAATCATACGATTTTTCGAAATTTGGGCTGCCCTGGAAATGTTAATTGTCTAATTAATTAATTATAATTTAATAAGTACTAACTTTAAAGGGTTCTTTTGTTCCCTGAAACTTAATTAAGGCAAAATTTAAGGAAATTAGTTGAGTTAATAAAAGTAATACATTAGATTACTCTGAATTATTGTAAACATATTGTGTCGGTCAATAAATTAAAGACGAAATGATAGATCTATAAAAAAATTATATTTTTTGGCTTTTTGCATGGCATCTATAGTTGAAGATAATATATATATATATATTTATATATTTGAGCTGTCATTATTATATTTTAAATAATATAGTTGAAAATAATCTTTTATAAATCATATATATTTTCTTTGATGTAATCGTAGAAGAAGATTTAATCATTATTTTATTTATTGCTAAAAAATTTTAGTTTGATTAGTGGTTATGTGACAATTTTGTCATATTTTTTTATTTTTCAAAAAAAAAGTAATGAAAATACTTATTATTATTTTATGACTTTATTTTAAAATGTTTAAATTAATTATTAAAACATTTATAATTAATTATTTAATTGTTTCAATGTTCATAATGTTTGAGATTAATTATCATAATATTTTGAAAATAATTCTATAATGTTTTAAGTTAAAACGGCTATCTAATTCTGGACTATATAAGACCTTCTCATGTATTATGAAAATATGATTTTTCCTTCTCTTCTTCTTTCGCTCTACCTTACATCTATTCAGAGAAAATATATGCTTCCCATTATGATTAGTGTAGATCGTCGCAAAGAGTTTGTTGAATTATGGTAGTTAGGCCGTTACGTAACTTTGTCCTTGAGAAGAGCAAAAATCTAACTTCAAGAACAATGCTTCATACGTCTAAGCCTACTTATTTGATAAGTTTTCTAGTTGTAATTGTCTTACTTCTCTTCTATTTTTACAACAATCTTGAAGTTAAATCATATGTACTCTGCATTGATTAGTTTGTCGCCTTATCTAGGAACATAAAATTATGATACAATTGATTAGTTTGCCACCTTATCTAGGAACATAAAATTATGATACAATTATAACTGATTGGAATAATGCAAATAAGATTTGCAAGACATTACTCTACTACAAAATTGAGTATGTTTCTGAAATATTAAAAATATTAGAGAAGAAATATATGCTATAAAATGCAAGAACCAAGACATTATAGAAAATTTCATAGCCTTTCATATGAATGACTCTAAGAAAATATCTGCTTAGTATATGATTTTCATATTCTTATTAGTGATCTTATTAAGGAAGGAATTAACTTGTAAGAAACTTTTGTCACTGCATTCTTGATTGAGAAACTACTTGAATCTTAAAAGGAATATAAAAATATGATAAAGCATAAACACGGTGATATAAGTTTAGAGTAAGTCATTATTGATATTAGAATTGAAAAGACTAACATAAAAAAGACTTATTTAAAAAGGAAGAGATATTTAACTATTAATACAAAGTTGATACAAGAGGGGAATAAGAAGAGAGAAAATTTTAAAAAACCTCTTTACAAATAAAAACAAGAAAGAAAAAAAAAACAAAGTCAAAGGAAATAAAGAAAAAAAAAGTGTTTATTTTGTTTGTGGAATATCATGCCATTTTACTAGACAATGCATACATAGAAAATTGAATGATAAATCAAATATCAATATTGCAAAGACCAATGATGCTATTATTGTTATACTCTCAGAAGTTAATCTAGTTGAAGGAAAGTCACGAGTGATAGATTCAGGAGCCACACATCATAGATGTGTAAATAAAATTTTGTTTTTCTCCTATACTAATATTGGTGAATTAAGAAGAAGAACAAATTTTCATGGCAGATTCTAATGGTGCAAAGGTTGTTGGAATAGGAGTTGTTAACATCAAGCTTACATCAAGAAAATTTCTTACACTCTCTAATGTTTTACATGTACCATAAATTATATATAATTTGTTTTATATCTCTAACTTGGAAAAGCCGGCGTTAAAATTATTTTTGAAAGGATAAATTATTATTAACAAAAAAATGATAATTTTGTGGGAAAAAGGTTATGTGAGCAATGGTCTATTTATGTTAAATGTTAGATGTTAATTTTTGGAAGGAAGCCATTC